GGGGGTTGGGGAGGAGGGAGAATGTACAGAATCAGCACGCCACTAAGGCATTCTACACGATTCAATTACTTCACAAACAATTGCATGTGTATCCGGGGAAATCATGTTCAAAGTTAAATGGAATGCCTGAAAAAGAAGCAAGAAAACTGTGTCAGCCTCCAATGAATGGTTCATAACTCCATAACATTCATAAAGAAGGCAAAGAACATATTCAGATGAAAATAAAGTCCAGAAAAAAACATACCACAAATCTCTCCAAAACTGGTACGAGTGCTCTCAAATTATGCTCTGGGAGGCAACGGGCAATGGCTTCACGAGCATTCACACTATTCATAGTGACCAAGAAAAACCAAAACCCAAGCCATCAATCCTCTACTATAACTTACCAAGAAAAATATTGAAATAAAGCAACAAGTAAAAAAAGAAAATGAAGTCACGAGCTTCAAAGCATGAAACTTGAAAAGGCAAAAGCAAACCTTTCATTCGAGAGGAACGCAAGAAGCAAAGCTGCATATGCTTCCACAATCATCTTTTCGGCTTCACGCTCCCCTTGCAATATAGCAGCTTCATCATCCTGCACCAAATCAAATCCATCTCTAGGTTGACATTTAAAATATTTTAAAGAAAGGTGAAACACATTATTTCCAAAATTGATTATGAGAGAGTACATCATACACAACATGTGAAAGGAAAAATATATGCCACTGGGTTATAAGCTCAGATCTAATCTTAGAATCTGAATGAGAATCATAGGGATGCTGGCAACCCAGTTTTGTGTGCCTTTCCATACACGGGCCGCATGTCAAATTCAATCCCCAATGACCTTTTAATTCTACGTTTATGATAATATTATCATAATATATAGTTAAATTGGAAGGCGACTAAAATGAAATGTTATCAGGAACACACCAGTCATTGAACTGGTGAGGGCGCCGATCAGACCAGCTGGTTTAGCGATCAGACTAGCTGGTTTAGCAGTCAAACCAGTCTGGAAAATATAACTAAAATTTAAAAACTTGTCAAAAACAGTATCGAACCGCCTAGTTCAACCAGTTCAGCCTGTTCAACCAGCCGGTTCAGACTGGTTTTGACCTATTGGCAGTCCAGTGATCAGACAGAACCGGTTCCCCATCCAACCAATGAGACTGACCAGTTCTGTCAAGTCTTGATAACATTCACTCAGGCTGCAGAACAGGTATGTATGAAATACATACATATGGAATGGAAAACTAAAATATAGGAAGTAATTTACCCAAGGCGATATCGTTCCATCATTGACCGTCTCACCAGCTCCTTGGTTGGCCAAGAAGATGGAGCATAGGAGAGGAATAACAGCCTGACGACTCCCCTTGCCTTCTTCGGATCTTCCACCATCTGGTAGTAGAACACTAGCAGCTGCAAGCTGTGTTCTGCAGAAAATTTGTATTAATAAGTTTCGCTCGGAAACATTAACAAAAAAAGGAGTCATCTAGCTAGCACTTGCATAGTCCTTTGTTGCTCGGAAGTTGACATTCAATTCAAATTAAAACACCATGCAGGAAGAGTTGTTATGCCATCTCAAACTATTTGCTTTCCTAACGCTTTAACTTTTATGCTATTGCAAAAAAGGAACCTACATGTAAAGCCGATGCCAGAAATGGATCTCTGATTTAACTTCCAGAGTTCCCCCACATGCATGAGACAGGGCCATGACGTTTATATGTATAGATGTACATACATAAACAGTGTATGTATGCATATGTGTGTGTGGATAGATGGAGGTAGGTGCATTTCAAAATTGACGGTTAGCCATCTTCTCTAAAATATTTGCCAAGAAATCTAACTTAAAACATTACAGATAGATAAAAGAACAAAAAACATTACAATCACCTGTTTCCAGTGTCCTTCTCAACCAAATTCACAAGCACCCCCAAAATGGCAACTAGTAACTCCATTTCATGATCACTAAGATAATCCTTGTCATTCCGATCCAAATCACAGATTTCCGTTTTCAAGGATGGTGTAATATCTTCATTATCATGAGATAGAGATAAGGACGAATGAAATATTGGGAAGTGACCAACTATTAGGGCAGCCATAGTGTCAAGTCCTCCACAAGCTGCAATTTCTTTACAGCCCACCGAATTGTCATTTGTAAGATTCATCAACACCTGTCAGGTAAATGAACAGAATAACATGATTAGTTAAATCTACCGAACCCACATTTTCTAACCGGGGTGTTAAGGCGAAACATTGCACATATTTCTAAAGTCATAGTAATATTTACACGTAATCAATGCAACTTCAAACTTTCAACCTCTTTCGCCTTAGACATTTAATGAGCTTTTTTTTCTTCTGATAGTTAGTGATAACTGATAACCTAGATGCACCTCGTTATATACGATAACATACAGAAGCCCTTTTAGTATCCATCTCTATCATGAGTTTCCCATCACACCGAAAAGGTGTGAATCTACAAGCAATTGACCAGAAAAACAAAATATAATAGTATAATGTTTTAAGATACAGAGATAAATATGCGGCATGAAAGACCGATAAAGACTGGCCACGAATGCACAATTGGTTTTTGTGTAAATACGCAACTATCCGTCTTAATCCCCTGGTTCAAAACAAAGAACAAATTTTCAAGGAATCATGCATAACAGAAAATTAGAGGAGAGCGAAGAAGAAACTTCCAGCATGTCAAGGAATCATGCCCCCTTAGGGTCCACTTCCGAATAAAATGTACAATAATTTGACACTGTCATCTAACGAGTAGTGTTGACTATGTCATCTGAATAGTAGTGCTTACAAAACAGAGTAGATATCCAAGTTTATGAGGTGTTCTCTGCCTTATAATTTGTAATCATGCTTTATCTTTGAGTAAAACTCTACTCCAATGTACAACACTAAAATTAAAGTACAAAGTGAAAATTTTGGGAAGCGCATCGATATTTGCTATTCATAATTATATACCTAAGGCTAGTTCAAGAAGAACCTGATCTAGATACTGTAAAACCCCCTGATATCTTATTAAGGAACCAGTAGGTATTATTGACATTCAGGAATCTTATTCACAAAACTAATTAGAAGACAGTTCCTCATTGAAAAGCAGTCGGATACCTTTATAGCTGCACGAAGGCAATCGTCCAGAATGTCCTCTTCTGCAATCATAGAGGAACATGTGTCCACTGAAACATGACATGCCTTGCCATTCACTGCTTTTCCATTAGTTCTGGTTGCAAGCTTGAGTTCATGTCCATCATCCAACTCTGTGTCAGCACTGACCGTATTCTCACTTCGAGATGTACGTTTGTATATCGATGAGATCTGCTCCCACTTTGAAGGTTCCATGTCATACTCATCAAATGCAAATGGATCTTGACTGTCCACAGACTTGCATTCAACATCTTCAGACAAGCACCTCTTACCCAGGACAGCTGATTTTTCCTTTACACCATTATCATTTATAGAAGATATTCTCCCATTTAAATCTTCAGCTTTCTCCTTGGAATGAGCAGGCTCCTTTACTGAAAAAGTATTAGCCCCACATGAACTAGTAGTCATAGAATCTGTAAAAGAATACTCCGTCTGTGAACTAAAACTCTGATAGTCTCGATAGACTTTGCGGCTCATACCATTTTTAATTAAAATGGATGGCTTCTCCTTGTGGTATAACTCTTCAAGAGAACAAGTTAGCTTCGAATCTGACTTACCTGCAGGATTCAATTAGATGAGTAAGCGCATAAAAACTCAGAAACAAATAGCTAGTATATAACCAATGAAAAAGCTATTCATATGAAAAAAATTGAAAAACGCAGCTTATTGGAGAATGGAAGTTTTGGAAAATTTCTGGCACTACAATAGGGGAGTGTCGGACAGTACCTTTAGATCAAGTATCCAACAATGAAACTTAGTATTCTAAAGATCAAAACCCTTGCATAGACACAAACTCGAATGACATGGTACTCAACTAGGGTACTCTTTTCTATATGGGACAAATTAATGATGTAATGATTTCTTAATTTTTTTTATTTTTACCTTGTTTTTTTTAGGGTTATTTTTGTCTTTTTTTTTTGTCATAGAGATTTGAGAGACAGATTTGGAAGTTTATTAATTTTAGAGATGAAAGCGGTCAGGATTTCTTAAAAGAGGATAAGGATGGAGCATAGAATTGGATGGGGATTCCTAACAATTAGGAAGTCAATAGGGTTACATGAGATCAAGAGAATAAGATTGAGAGAGAAAATGTGGGGGAGAGAGAGAGAGTTTTTGTCATTTTTATTATTTCTCACCCAGACACCCTCTATTATTATTATTTTATTAATTATTTCTTCCCATCTTCCTTGCATCAGTTAGTATCAGAGACTTGAGATCCATACAACATGATGCTTTCACAAACATCTACATAACTAGTTATGGAGCGTATAGATCAAATATTTGAGCGATTGGATCAAAAATTTGAAGGAGTCAAACAACATCTGATAGAAACGTTATAAGATCTATTCAATAGTTTGCACCATGAGGAACGAGAATATGAAGAGGTAGAAGATCAAAAATCAAACACCAATCCAAGCATTAATCTCACACCACAGCTTCCTTTGGAAGTTGAGTTGATTGTAAAGCATTAAATACAAGTGGTGGAAGGTGCAACCGTGTAAGAGATTTTGGCATCACAGTTGATTTTCCAAGCATATCATAACTCTAATCCACCACAGTGATCTAATATCTTTTCAAGAAAATTATGCGATAACCTGGGGGGAAGAAAGAAGGATATTAGGTCCAACAATCAAAAGTTCGATAAGAGAATGGTGAAAATTTCTAGATGAAACAAAGTAGAAAATATATTAAAGGAAATTTTTCAAATTCCATAAGCTCGAAGTCAAGCTTCTCCTAATCCCATGAGAATGATGTAATGAGTTTTTTTTTTTTTTTCATTTTACTTCTTTTTTAGATCTTATATTTGGGGTTATTTGGGTTTTTAATTTTCTTTAGGGTTATTTTTGTCTTTTTTTGTAGTAGAGATTTGAAGGATAGACGTGGAGGTTTATTATTTTTTCAAAAAAAAATTATTTTACTTTTTTTAAAAAAAATGTTGGATTTGGTATTATTTGGGGCTTTAGTTTTCTTTAAGGTTATTTTTGTCCTTTTTTTTGTCATAGAGATTTGAAGGGTAGACTTGGAAGTTTATTATTTTTAAAGATATAAATGGTTACGTGTTCTTGAAAGAGGATAAGGATGGCATGTAGAGTTGGATGGGGCTTCCTAACAATTAGGAAGTGAAGAGAGAGAGTTACATGAGATCAAGAGAAGAAGAAGAAGAAGAGAAAGGGACAGAGTTTTTGTGTTTATGTTTAATTGATATTATTTGTTTTAAGTTTGTATTTAAAAGGAAGAAGGTCCTTTTTGAACAACATGGTTAATTTGAGAAGAAAGAAATTTTTGGATCTTGTGAAGAGATCTTTGGGGTGGATTCTCTCACAAACCCTTGAGAGACGGTATATTCTCTCATCCCTCTAATATTATTTTTCATTTAACTATTTCTATCCCATCTTCCCTGCATCAATTAATCATCGCAAATGCATTATTTCTACATAAAAAGGACAGTACCTTTCAACTCTTCGAAATCATCGAATGATTTTCCTCTGCTTGAGGAACTAGGAGAATCTCGTTTCCCAAGCAAAATAAGTCCTGCAAATCAAAAGTAACCATGATCAATGACAAGAGCACAACTGTAACATTGGCATTAGAAGACTTCGGATACATTTCGAATTCCGAGAGATTCTTCATTCAGAAAACCTGCACTTTAATCTACCTGAAATTATTTTGATGGCACTCAGGATGAGTCCAACGAAAGATAGTGGTGATCCCGGACATTCCAACTTCGCATTCATCTCCAGTAAATGATTCTATTGAGAAAATGCATCAAAACACAAAAAAGGTAAATTATAAGCAACACCAAAAAATTTAATGGCACTGAACCAAGAAGCACCACAAACCTCAAATAGTGAAATAAGTACCTGGTTCTCTTTACTAAGAAACGTGGCATTCTCTATAATCTTAAAGCATCTTAAGAGTAGCGCTAAACTTTGCAAAGCTCCTTCGCTTTTTAATTTATGAACTGCAAGAGAACTATGCTTTAAAACTCCCTGCAAAAAAAGTAAGACATGCATGAACATAAATAAAACAGTACCACCAAATTACCAGGGAGAACAAATTTACATCAACAAGACATTGGAATAAGCAGCATCAAAGCTAAGACAATATAACTAGCATATAAAAATGCTTTGTTCAACTTATATGCAACAAAATGCATTTGGTAAAAAATAATGGGAAATATTCCAACAATGTATAATATGTTTGTGCTTGTACCACTGCTGAATAATAATCTGCCAAAAGTACAATATCTCTACAAAATTGGCACTATGAAAGAAACCAAAATTATAGCTCCAGTTTCCAATGTAAAGGAAATTTAATCGAGACTGTGGAGCATGCTTTGCATTTATTTCCCTTTTGGTGTTTAAGATGCAATAGCCGACCCCAAATAGTTGGGAAAAGGCTCTGATGATGATGATGATGATGAGGTGTTTACGATGCGTCTTGGGCATCTTTTACCATTTTCCATGTCCTTGGTTGCATGGTCATAACATCATCAACCTTTCTCAGAAAAATGTAAAGGAAATTAAAAATAAAATTACACTCAACCACCAAACCATGTACGAACTTTCAAGATGAGCAGCATATTTTCATTTCTCCAATAAATAGAAGGATCAGGGAACACTATACATTCTTGACAACAGTTACTTTTAATTTTGAGAAAACGGAAACTACCAAAGCTCAGTGCTCACCTCCAGAACAGAATGGCAGTCAACGATGACATCAACAATGGAATCCAGACCCCCAAGTTCCCGAAATCTTTCCTTAAACTTTCCTCCAACCCTTCTAACTGAACCAGAAGTGTCTGAAACAATAAAGGCATGACAAATGAAAAAACTACTGCCACTATGTGGTAAGAAAGCATACATATAACCATAATTTAAGATTGGCTAAATCGTATATGTGATAATGAAGATAGCAATTAAACTTGCTAATAGTAAACTAGTTTATACATAGTGCAATGCCCAGTGCCCCCAAAGGTTAAGCAAGCCATTGTCATTGTAGTACACAAGACTTTAGAATGCACTTGGTGTACAAATGATATAGAGGTAAAAGACTGTTGGAAACACAAACAGCGCTAGGAAAGCAATTCCAAGTTCACCTTCAAGAGCAACAGTTGATAAACATGCTTTCTCCAAGGTCAGTAAAGCTATCCATTTCGAGCTCAGCTCTGGCCTTCTCATTCTATTTTCCTCTGTTCTGATCAATTTCATCTCCTCACCAATATGGAGGATCTCCAGAACTTTTGCATCAATTGCAGAAACATTAGCATCTGAACTTTCAGGTTTAGCTCTCAACAGTCCACTATCCACACGTGCTGCTAGAAGCTTACTGCCAATTGTTGGCACTTTCTTCTCAATAGTAACCGTCTTTGGTGGATGCAATAACTTAAGGAGAAACTTAACACACTCAGAAGATTCCAGCAAATGTTCATCTTGACCCTGGAACAAGGCATGGGATTTAGAAAACAAAAAAATTTGAGCAAAGTAATGAAAAAAGACCATGCTCATGTACAGAAAGTAAATCCTAGGCTTATATTGCAATCCATAGAGGCTAATTTCTAGGCCATACCATCATGAAGACAACGATTTATTGCCTCCAAAAGATATCCTAAGATTTCTTTTTGAAAGAAAATCCTAAAAGTGTTTCATTGGTTACCTAAATTTTGTCATAAAATGAGAAGGCAAAATATACTCAAACAAACTTAATATACAATTCCTAATGAGAAGGCAAAATCGTGGATGCCCCCTTGCGGGAAGGGGGAAGAGAGGGGGGGGGAGGGCATCTAATTTTTTTCTTCTTAGGCAAGAATTACAATTTTTTATGCCTTCTTGACTGTTAAGAACAGAAGTCACAAAACAAAAGAACAAACTAAAAATGGAAGCAGCCAATAATTATAAAATTCTTACTTCACTAGTACAATCTCTTGGAACCACTCATAGACACAAGGATTCCGGTCAGGACTAGCACGAGTACCAAGCTAGAGTCAGGCCTGACAGATTTGGCCAAATCTGTGAAAGACTAGGCCAAGTTATAAACAAAGGATAATAAAATCTTGTGAATCAACCAGACTCTTTGTCAATGGTTGCTCTAGAAAAATCTAGAGTAATATCTGATTGCTCTAGAAACTTGTCAACCCTTTCTCAATGGTTGGCATCTGATCTCAAACTCCATCATGTATGGTGTGTAATTATGCTGCCCATATGGAGATTTCAATAATATTCATATGTTCACAGAGGTAGAGGTAGCAGTTTTTATTCCTTTTCCCTGATTATGAAAATGGCTCGTATGTTTATATGCATATGGATTCCAAATGTAATTATGTGGTGCAAAGTACTTCTGAACTTTCTCAAGCCTGAATATCCTTACGCATTAATTCACATTCACTCCGAAACCAATAACCCAATTTATGTCGAGTGAGTAGAAAGCAAGGCTGCACAAATTTCCCATGGTTGCAATGGGCTTTGCTTTTCCCCTTGACAGCAAAGTTATCTATGAAACAACCATGTTCCATTAATCCATTGTTTACATTCACTCTTGCATTTTGCATTTATTAATAATTCATTCTTTTCTTATTGGCATTCAATTTTATTTATCAGTAAAAAAGCAGGAACAATTAGTTCAAGGTGAATGAGATAGTATGAAAACATGGAAATGTGGTTGGTCCAAAAAATAAAAAACAAATGCCATGCTGGTGGTAAAAAAATATCAGAATAAATCTTAACTAAGACACCAATATCTAGCATCAAGTACTAATTAACCATGCTGAAATGCAAAACTTAATTCTTCATGTGTATTTCTAGCTTCCTAAATAGACAAACAGCAAGGTGTTGCAACTTACATCACTTGCCAAGACAAAAAAAATAGCTGCAGCAGCAAGAGTGCTTGGAGAATCATCAGTGTGCAAAATTAGTATGGCATCAAAGATTGCCTTAGCCATCCTGCAAAAAGGAACTTGGTAATTTAGAACCACCATAACAAGGGCACGTCATCACAATAAACAAATAGTATTCAGACTTTCCAAATTGAAAACAGAATAAGTATGACTCCACGTAATGAACTGAAATAGAAAAAACAGGGAGCCCCAACACATTATTGAAGCGTTTGTTCTTATCGTGGAAATCGCTGATTGGTTCATGGGGTGAGATACATTTCAATTCCAATAAAATGGGCAGACCAAACCATGTCATTTGTAACTAAGCAGTCAAATTTCGTCACCAACAAACTGTAAAGAAATCATCATCAACCCAACTCACCCAACTATTCAAAACAAGCGCGTGAACCATAGTAAAATTTATCAATTTCAATGGACATAATTCAATTTCTTTGGAGAAAATTGATAATATTGAAACATTCAAAACGAAGGTGAATTTCTAAATCAATCATACCCCTGAGCTCTGAGAACACGCCTTTGTTGCGAGGTTCCACATATGGATAGCAGCGATAAGAGACTGGCTCTCTGAATCCTCAGAGGTTGGCCTGGTCTCAAACCATCCAATGCAAAATAGGCTTCATCAACATGCTCCATCATCTCACCAAACTCTTGAGCCTCCATTAAACTGGCAGTTGCGGGAACACAAGACGACCAGACCCCCTTATTTCTTCTCGAGCCATCCATCTCCTCTGAAACATCGACATTATCCATGGTTTCAGAAATTAGGGTTCTCGGTTTCTTTGATTTTGGACAATCGGATGAATTGACAAGGGGGCGAGGGGGGAGGGGCCATAGATCTAGGTCTTTTGATGAAGGGCACAATTCTGTAGCCTCCATGGACCAGGAAGAGGAGTCCTGAGACGAGAAGGGGTAAGAGAACATTTCCTGAGAGCTTTCTTGAGAGAGAGATTCCCTGAAGCTGTCCTCATCGCCATAGCTACTGCAATCAGAGAGGGCTCGGCCATTGCAGCGGCTCCGCCTGTGGTACGTCCTCACTATCATTTTGGCTATGGCGGAGAATTACAGTTTCGGGCTCTCATCTGGTTTTTACAAAGAGGGATAGAAAGCAAACCCCCGGGTTCTCAAGAAAGGGGAAGATTCCGGCGTCGATGGGGTGGGTGAGAATTGACCGGAAAATGGGGCTTCTCTCTGTAGAGAGAGAAAGAGAGAGGTTTAGAGAGAGAGAAAGAGAAAGAGGGATCATGAGAGAGAAAGTGAGAGCGCCATGAACGAAGGTTGGCCTCGCCCTCTGCTCTCATAATTTTTTGAAAATAACGATTTCGCAATTTCCGTATTTGCCCTCTCCTCTGCTGTTTGCTTCTTTTGCTTTGAACTTCACGGTATGCAGTACAACTGTATAGCCGCTAGATATGAAATTGAACGGATGAAAGTGTATAATCCATTGCATCCAAAATTTAAATGAACTTTTCGTTAACTTCATGATACATGTTTCAACGTCAGATTTGACATCGGATGGTTGGGAATCATCATGACCTTCTCTCACCAATGTTAATCTTAGGGGTATTTTGTTTTCAATAGAACTAATCCTTGTATAGGTTTTTATAAGGTTGCGACCTTAAACGATCCAATTAAGGCGCACCTCCAAATATTATCATAATATGAAATTTTCGCATAAAATATTCTTGTAATTATCTTAAAATCTTTTTTCATATCGATCGTAAAATCTTACTCTTCAATTATTGTTAAAGGGAAAAGTTTATATAAGGTTGCAACTTTAAAATGTAGAATCACAAATGCACCTCAAAAATCTATATGAAAGGTTGTTTTAATGTTGAAAAACAGTCTAATTGATCATCTCGACATCGAGATGTATAAATATTAAAAAAAAAAATGTTTTTGAGTCCAAAAAATAGTGCATCTTGCAACACATTATCTAGACCATTTATTTTCAAGATTTTCATATGTTTGTAGATCTACTTGATTTTAACCGCTTTTTTAGTTTAAAATTTTCTAATTAGATATGAAATTAGTTTTTAAGATAATCCTAAAAAAAAAATTACAACAAAATTACATGTTATGATAAAATTTGGAGGTGCACTTTAATTGGATTGTTTAAGGTTACAAACTTATAGAAACGGCACCCATTGTTAAAATCATGTAGATCTATAAACATATGAAAATATTGAATATTGACGGTCTAAATAATGTGTTGCAACTATTTTTGAAACTCAAGAACTTTTTTTTTTCATATTCATACATCTCGATGTCGAGATGCTCAATTAGAGGTTTTTCAACATTAAAGCAACGTTTTTCGATTGATTTATCAGGTGCATCTTTAATTCTACATTTTAAGGTTACATGCACCTAAAAAATCCATCGAAAAATGTTGTTTTAATATTGAAAAACCCTATAATTTATCATCTCGACATCGAGATGTATGAATATGAAAAACAAAAACCCTTTCTGAGTCCTATAAATAGTGTATCTTGCAACACATTATCTAGACCATCTAATTATAATATTTTCATATGTTTATAGATCTACTTGATTTTAACTATTTTTGGAGTTTAGAATTTTATAATTAGCTATGAAAAATAGATTTTTAGATAATCCTGCAAATTTTTTATACCAAAAATATATGTTACGATTAAAATTGGAGATGCGCCTTAATTAGATTGTTTAAGGTTGCAACCTTATAAAAACCGTACCTATCATAAAATGGATAAGGTTTTTGTACTTCCCATAAAACATAGAAGATCTATGCTCCCCCTGTCATCCAACCGTCCAATTTTGATCAAGTGGGTCACTCATCATTTGATCTTAGATCGGACGCCTCAAACTATTTTAAATTATTTTTATGCATATTGTGTGAATATGAAATTTAGTACATGTCATCTTCTCATTGGGACGCTTCTACAAAAAATACTAAAACAATTTTTTTGATAAAATATAATGACCTAAATACCCCTTGAACCTTTCATGGGTATTTTGGTCATTTTATTTTATTGGGAGTTTTTTATATATATGTTTTACATGTGCGAGTTTAATAAAGGATTGGACGCCCAAAATTTGGAGTCAAAATATTTTGTAGAAAAAAGTTAAAAATAAACTAGTGTGGAGACATGACATTGTGATTGAGACAATCTTAACCCTCCATTCATAATGGATGATTGTATAAAATGAGGTATATAAGTTTCATATTGCAGGGGAAGCATAGAAAGCTTGCCCAAAATAAAATTACCCGAGATTAGCTTGAAGACAATTTTACAAATAAGTTTATCATTTCGAATAGCTCATCATCATTATCATAGCCTTTTCCTAATTAATTGGGGTTGATCATACAAATCATCCTTGTCATTCTACTATATTAAGGGTAATACCATCATTGAGGCCACAATTCCCCCATATCATTTGGTGTAGCTATTTTTACTTATTCAATGAGATTTGTTGTGATATTTGCTTCCTTTGGGACCATTTGGTTTTGAGTGCTTCACAAAACTTTATTTCAAGTAGATACGTTTCCATTGTTTTCCAAAAGTCTTTAGATAATTTTTCTTAGTGTTTATCTGTAGTATATGGGCCCAACATAACTGCTAACATGTCTGCTTTTCTTGAGGAACTAACAAATATTCAGTTAAATTTGAATGTGCCTTAGTTGGTCTGTGGTAACTTTAATATTATTAGACGGCCTCGTGAGTCTACATCTTCTCCTTCTATGTCTTCTTGTATGATATTGTTTTGAGGTTATGCAGCGCCATCAATTGATTGATCTTCTTTCTACTGAGGCTAACTATACCTGGTCCAATCATAATTTACAAATATTATTTTGACAAGGTTATGCATGTCTCTTGTCTTTTCTGAGTTTGTTACTCGTTTGCCAAAAATAAGTGTGAAAGCCTTACCAAAAATTTATTCTGATCATGACCCTTTTCTCCTTAACTCTGACAGTTTCTTATCTGGACCATCCCCATTTAGATTTGAATTGGCATGGCTATCAGATAGACCTTTACTTAGTCTGATTGAAGATTTTTTGAAAAATACTACCACTGATGGTTGGAAAGGTTTTCAAATTTCAAAGAAGCTCAAACTATTGAAACAAATGACTATTACATAGAAGATGAATGTTTTGAGAGATTTACAATCTAAAATCAGGGTTGCAAAGTCTCATATAAAAGAGTCAGGTAATGTTCAGTTTACGGGATGTGCTCTAACACGTGATCATTTCAGAGACAAAGGCTTATGGGTGGCTACGTATAAACAGTTGCTTAATTTGGAGGAAATCCATTGGAGACAAATATATCGTGTGAAATAGCTCAAGGATGGCGATAAAAACACGAGTTTCTTCCATACTATTGCTAATACAAGGAATAGGAGTAACTCAATTCAAAGCCTTCGTATTGAAGGAAAAGACTGTAACAACATGTCAGAGGTTGAAAGGGTCATGGTTGATCATTTCAATAAGTCTTATGAGACCGATAGTGTGATTCAACTATCCATTGAAGATCTACCTTTTACTAGGTTGTAGTTAGAACAAGCTCAGTGGTTGGATAGAAAATTTGAAGAGCAAGAAATCATATATGCAGTCTTTAGCCTATGCAGAGATAAGGCTTTTGACTCAGATGGATACCTAATGGCATTTTTTCAACATTTTTGTGATATTTTGAAAGATGATATTATTCAATTATTGAAATAATTTTATTTGAAGGGTCAAATTAATATTGTCATAAATCATACTTTTACTGCTTTAATTCCAAAGAAAATGTCATTGCGGATATCAAAGATATTTGGCCTATTAGTATTATTGTTAGTCTTTATAAAATCATAACAAATATTTTAGCTAATAGACTGCGTCTAGTGATTCACATGGTTATTAAATGACCACAATCAACATTCTTGAAGGATAGGCAAATTATAGATAGTATTTTAGTTGCACAAGAATGTATCCACTCAATAATTAATGATGACAAATCGGGTCTTATTTGTAAGCTATAATTTGATAATGCATATGGTAAGATTGATTGGGGGGTACTACAAAGTATCATAGCTAAAATGGGTTTTTGTTCAAGGTGGAAATTGTAGATTGATGGTTGTCTATCTTCTAACCATTTTCCAGTTCTTGTTAACGGCAAAGCAACTGGTTTTTTCAAATGATCAAGATGATTGAAACAAGGGAACCATATTTCACCATTTTTATATACTTTGGTAGCTAAGAGCTTCAGTGTCATGCTTAATGGATTGACAGTGCAAATGATCATATCAAGTGTTAATATTGGTAATAATGGTCTTATAGTATCACATTTACAGTGTGCTGATGATATCATTATATTATGTGATCCTACTGTTAAGGAAATCACTTGCTTATGGATTTTATTAAAAATGTGGAACTCTCAACTGGACTTAAAGTTAATTTGAGTAAAACCAAGCTCATTGGTATTGGTTGTCCGCAAATCATATGTCACACCCCAAGATTTATAACACTGGAATCCTTGAGATGTAACAGTCTATCTTTAACAAAATGAAAATTTTCTACTTCACCATTTATTGCACTAAAACAGATTTTTCCATTTCTAAGAGTCTGTACAAAGTCTACTCATAACTAGTATTAACATGAAGGTTTAGATATACATATGTTGATAGGACAAAATTTACAATAGTGAATTTGAACAAAAGTCGCAAAGAGAAAATTTCATCATAACTATGACTTCTTCCAAAGTTGGTCATGTTGTGCCTTCAACTAGAGAGACTGCAATTACCCTAAAATTTTTTTACCATAGTTTGATGAGTTTGGCTACTCAGTAAGTGATCATCATTGTCCTAAAAAATAATCATAGTCGAAAGATGTAAGCATTTTAAAAAATGGAGGTCTATTAGAAACAATGCGAGCAAAAAGCATTTATGGATAACAATTTCACGTTTAGAAATGCACAATTAAACATAATCCAAATGATTGAAATGCATATAAATATTTTAACAGCAATGCATAACTCAAAGGATTTCATAAAATACCCTACTGGCGTCCCAAGTAGCTCACCTATATACCCCACCAGCGTCCTAGATGGGTCCAAACAATCCCTGCAGGTCCAAACATACATCACCGGCGTCCCGAATGAGTCCAAATAGTTCCTACTGGCGTAACTAGATATGTCTAAACAATCCTGCAGGTCCAAACATACCTCACCGGCGTCCGGATGAGTCCAAATAGTCCCTAGCGGCATAACTGGATAGGTCCAAACAATCCATGTAGGTCCAAATGTACCTCACCGGCGTACCGGATGAGTCCAAATAATCCCTATCGGCATCCCAGATAGGTCCACAC